TACTTCATCTAAAGGAATACAAAGCTTGGCTAGCTTGTGAGATTTCTTCAGAGAGAGAGAATATGAGATTTAGGCAACACTAAAATATCATCTTTCAGAGGAAATTTAAATGAGGCTGAAGGTCCACAAGGGTGTAAAAATCGGATTTTTACTTCTTCAATTATATCATTTTTATCGATTATATATCCTAACCACCATTTATCATCAAATACACATGTTATATATCTATTAATATTTTAAAAATTAATTTTCTCATTTAAAAACGAAACTTGTTTTATATTATATTTTTAGGAATTAGAATATATTTTGGTTTTTAATCTATTTTGATCAATGGGAATAACCCCGTGAATTTTTTGGGTCCCATGTATAAGCAGTGCATTAAATCTTTTATGAAGGGCTAATTCCTCTTCGATATATTCTTGATTAAATACATATTCAAATTGAATTCCATTAATATTTTCTTTAGCATAATTATATAATTCTAATGGGGTTAGGATTTGATTTTTATTTGGCCTTTGAAGACTAGCTCTGGCAACTAATTTTTTGACAGTTCCTCCGATACCGTCACATGCATTTTTGCCGTGAGCAGTGGCAAAGAAATGACATTCGGCAGGAATATTAAAATCGTATTTATGAAGGCATAGGTTCAGAAAAATTTTGCGATTCTTGTATTGAGACGCGGCTTCATCTGAAAAATATATTATTTTTTTTGGTTTAGAATTAAATTTGGATAAAATAACAATATATATATTTTTTAATTCTTCTCCAGATTTATAATATGCTACAAATGGATGTATAGTGGCCTGTACGTTGTTCCAATGAAATCCCTGAACTTCATCTTGTAAAATGAAGGAATAATTCTCAGAATAATCTAGAATTGATAAAAATTCCCCATCTTTTAAATTTTTCTACATTTGTCATTAATTTCACATTCTGATGAAGTGCAGACACAAACAGTGTGTGTGCCACTAGCTTCAACTAAAATACAGTTTTTTGGTCTAAGTTCGGCAAATTTAGAGAATCCAATTGATATATTTGGGTATTCTTCCTTAAACATCTTGAATATTTATTTAAGCTTAAGTCCTTGGACTGATTCTTTCTCGCCTTTAACAGATACACAATCTTTTATTCCAGGCATGAGTCGGCTTATTTCATCAGAACTATAATTTTGTTTATTTTTATTGCTTAAAAAATTTTTCAAAATCTTCGAAATTTATTTTTATCTGGTTATTTTAATAATTTAAGATAATGACAATTTCATAACATTCTTGATCTTGATGGGTATGACTTAGTCTGGGGGGGGGGGGGGTTGGGGGTAGGCCTGGTAATTAATGTGATTTTCGATTTTTCCCTTAATAATTTTCCTGCACTCCTTTAATCCTGCTTTTTTGTTCGTGTGTTAGTCGGATTTTTTTAATTATTTTTAATTTACATTGAAATATTAAAAAAATTATTAAAATTTTTTATCCTGCGAATATCTCAGGGGAATAAGGTTTACAAAGTTATATAATCGAATTTTATGATATATTATACATAAAAATATTTTTAATCAATAAAAAAATAAATTTTAACATATTAAAACTATTATATATAGCGCCATCTATTTTTTTAAAGTATAAAAATAGCAATATTTTTTTAAATAAATATCCAGCCATGCTAATTGTTGAAGAAATTATTAAAAAATAGTAAACGGATAATATTTCTTAAAAAAAATTAAAAATCGGAGATCATATACATTTCGAAATATTAATTTCAAGTTTTCAACTGACCCTAAGATGACCCATAAAAAAAAATTAATTTTGATGTTTTCGCCATAATTATCAATTATTAACTTAGCTATTGATATTAGATTCAATATTTGATCATATTTAGTTTTAAATTAAAAACTAATTATTTGACATCAGTAAAAAGCAAAAAAAGACGTTTTTTGGACCTTTAACCCCGATTATCTCCGCTAATATAGTTGCTAATGCGCTAAAATTATGTTTATAATCTAATGGGAACATATATAACCAGTCTACAACTTTTTATCGAAATTGAAAGGGGTCGGCCAAAAATCTTGATTTTTTTGCTCATTTGACATGGAATAACCCAATTGCACTTTAGATTCCCTGCCTAATATCAAAACATTGTTTTTTATCTTGGCTACCTTACCGATTAGCACCTGCATTAATAAAAGGTCTTTTTCAACTTTGAAAAGGTTAAAAACCTATTTAAGAAAAAAGGTGAAAGCCGTTTAAATGATTAGCAATATTAAATATTTATAAGGAGATTATTCTAGATAAAAATTTGATTCTAGATGAATTAGTCAAATCTCAGAGAAAAGAAGACCTCTCTTTATAAATTCAAATTATAAAATTTCTATATTTTTATAATATGATCTTAGTCATAAAATTTTTATATTCAAAACGTAATTATAATGAATTCTTAGTCATAATATTTAGTGTTGTTAAACGACTCTTTTTGAGCCGATTTTTAAAAACGACTAACTCAATATTTCATCCTGAATAATATTAAGCAAGACTGATTTGAACATCTATTAACAAAATCTCAAGGCTTAGGCAATATTTTTCTGGCTAAAATATTGAGTTAGCCGTTTTTAAAAATCGGCTCAAAACGAGCCGTTTAAGAACACTAATAATATTTATATATTATACTATTTTTAATAAAAATATTGCATTTGCACTAAGAATTAATGATCTGCATCGGGCCTAATTTTTCAAGCCTGGCCCTGCCCAAAATTATTTTAAAAAAATTTTGCCAGTCCGAACCCGATTTTTTTTTAAAAAAGTTTTGTCAGCCTGGCCCGAATTTATTAAAATATAGAAATTTATTTTTATAATTACTCAAAATAAAAGATATATGTTATATGGCGTCTAGTTTTTATAAATAAAATCAAATATTTTTATTTTACATAAAATTGATATATTTAGATATATTTTAAAAAATTTCTAAGGCCCAACCCAACTTGGCTCGAATTTTTTTAAAAAATATTAGGCCCAACCCAGCCTGATCCAGATTTTCTTACTTTTGCGGATCTCTAATAAGAATTATTTATGTTTTATTAATATACTCATTTGTAATAATTATATTATCATTGTTAAATTAGATTTTTTTAAATAACGCACAAGAATTACTCATATTTTATTGTAATTCTATTTTTTTTAAATATAGTTATTTAGAATAAATTTTTAATATAATCTTAAAATTTATATCTTTTGAAATTATTTTATTGTATAAATAATAAATAAAATCTATAATGAAATTCTCTGAAAAATTTTGTTATATACAAAAATTTAATTAAAATAATTATTTTCAACATAGAATAAGATATATTGGGTGATCATAAAAAATGGGAGGTTTGGGGGGCGATTTTATTCTTCTTTCTACACCGAATGGATTGAATTAATTTACAATTGACTAAACATTAATAAAATTTTCAGAATAATGCTTTCAGTCGCGTATTAATCATAAATTTGGACAAAATTTTGTCACTAATATTTTTTTCATTTATGATACTAAAATTTCCAATTTATCAGAAATCAGCCTGCGGCGATGGTAATTGTCAATATCACCAGCTTCACTAAAAACAGATTCTGAAGAGATTATCGTACATTTATATAAACAGAATGCGCAAAAAAATAACAATATGGCAGAATGTTTATTAATTAATTATTATTATTAAAAAAATATGGATTTCGATTTTATTTATAAATGATTTTAGATACAACTTTTTTTAAAAAAATTTATAACATTTTATTTTTGTTAAAGATGCCATTTTATATCGGATCGGCAAATTATATAATATTGGCCGATAACCGATATTTTAAAATAGGTGAAATATCGGCCCGATCTGATCCGATAAAAAATATCGGTACATTCGTAATTTAAAGTATAAATAATAAAATTGGCGTTATTATTTAAAAGATTTAAAATAAATAAAACTTTGGGTGTTACTTTCTATTTTTATAAAAAAACTTTTGAAATACTATATATCTATTTTAAAAAATAAATAAAACTTAAAGGTGCATTTGCATTGTTTAAAAAAAATTATTTAGAAAATAATATTAATGTAAAATAAATATACATAAAATAATAAAAAAAAGAAAAGTAAAAAGATCGGGGTTTATTGATTGATCCGATATTTTTTAAAAAAGCTAAATATCGTGCCGATATGATCCGATATTTAATATCGGCACAGCCCTAGTAATATTATCTTCCCAGTAATAGATTCACGGGAATGCATTCCCGATAATATTTGAAAACCATTACTTATGCCATAATGTATTCGTAGTAATGCTTATGCGGTAAATATTTGCAATAATATATTCACAAAATAAATTTTCGGTAATTTATCTTTTTATGTTAATCGAATCTACATTTGAGATACTATTTTTTCTGTATTGACATCTAAAAGGTAATTATGTATATTCAAAAATAACAATAGAAATGGATATGTAATATTTTAATCTTATATTATTATGTAGAAATTTGTGGCTATATTAATGTAATTGGGTATTGAATTCATAGTAACGCATTAGTGATAATGTATATGTGATAATATATTCGCAATAGATTCACTGTAATACATTCTGGATAATATTTGAGTATTAATACATATGCCATAATGTATTAGTGATAATGGTTTTGTGGGTATACATTTGCGGTAAGGTATTTGCAATAATATATTCAGAAATGTATTTGTGGTGTTATTTTTTATAGTTAATCGAATCTAAATTTTCAATAAATTTTTGCTGTATTGACATCTAATAGGTAATTATGTGCATTCAGGGATAATAATAGAAGTGGAATGTAATATTTTAATCTTATATTTATTATGGAAATTTGTGTTTGAGGCATAAAATTTCTATTTTTAAACTTAATTTAGCCCATATGGAAAATATATAGATGTGATAATTAATTATACCTTAAAAAATATTACATTACAAAATTAGTTTGCTTAAAAAGAATTGATATTCATTTCAGAAAAAAATATTTACATTGCTTCAGAGTTGGCGAAGGTAAAATAACGGTCAAGTCTTTAGCTAATAAATCTAAGTCCAATTTTGAGTTTTCGTCGTCTTTATTGCAAGTAATGTCAAGGCTAATATAAAATAATTATCAATCAAACGATATTTTGAAAAAAAATCCCAGCGCAAAAAATATGCCTAACCAAACTTAAAAATTAATTAAATTATTTATAGAAGTAAATTAAACCATTGACTCCAAATTGGGTTATTTGATGTGCTTCTCAAGTCTGGAACCGACCAGCTTCTATTGCGAAAATATTTGCAAAAATAATTCGTAGAAAAATGAATAGGCGGAGCTGGTGAAGAGTTGTTGCTTAGACATTTAACAAACAGTTTTACCAAATTTACCTGCATAAAATATATTAAAATTTTACCTAGATAATAAATAATATATGAATTGAGCAGTTAAAGTTTTTGCGTTAAATTAAACTGAAAAAGGCACGACTATAATCTCCCAAATAAATAGGCATAGTTATATACAAAAATTTTTAATTAGAAGGTGCTATATATAATAAGGAAATAAATTTTAATTAGTAAATCAAGAGACTAACGTCGTCCAAACACAATGTGTTGTAATTCAACGGCAGGCTAGACCAACGCCTTTGAGTAATCATTTTGAATTTGTTGCGACTAGTTTTTAGAGATTTTATATTACCAATGGGTGAAGGGGACGGAATGAGTACTTTGGAAATGGAAATTGGTTGTTCTTTGACAACTAATCCATATTTTTTTATAATTAAGGATTATGGTATAAGAAATTAATAAAACTCGATTGATTGCTCTAAATTAAGCTAAAAAAGTAAATGAGATTATAGGAAAATAATCAATAAAATGAAAAATTTCACCCAAACGATAAGACGGGTACTAAAAAATAAAAAGGTGTAATTATTTGGAAAAATAAACTATAATGGAGGTCATTTTCCTGGAAATCCCTAATCATTTATCAAAAACTATTATCATATTTATATTACTTATTCTTAAACTTGTATACCAATAAGGAAGAACAGTAAGCATGCAGGCTATTCAAAAAAGAATATGAATCGAGAAACATTAGTATTCTATTGCATTATTAAAAACATTTTTGAATAGACCAAGATAGATTATATATAAAAAAATGGTGATATTTCTAAATTTCCAAAAATTTTATTTTGATATTGTCAAGAATGTTGTTTTATATTTATTTTAACTCTTATGGTTTATTTTAATATACGTTATAATATAAAATTTTTTTTAAAATATTTGTGTTGATATTTTTTTATATAAAAACATTTATGATGTGATTTTATGTTGCTTATGTATTTTGTTCATTTTTTTAGAATACAAAAAGATCGCGATAAATTAAGTGTTGGACTTTACTTTTTTGTTTTATGAGAAAAAATAATAATTTTTAAAAAAAATCATAAGTATATGTAAAAAATTTAATAAAAATCTATAATTGTATAAAAATAAAATGGTACCTACATCATAAAGATAAGTTATTAAGAAATATAAATATATAAAAATAAGAGGATCTATAGGAGTTAAGTATAAGCATATAATTATTTGAGTTGTAAAGAATTATAAGAGTATAAATAAAAGTTGTAAAAGATATAAACATATTTTTCGAAACGAAATGACAAAAATTGGTTTTTATAGTTTGAATTTACTTGGAGTGTCTTGATGTTGACTGGTATTGTATAAAGGCCACTGCGTGGGATTATTGATCGTTCTTACTTTGTATTCGGTGGAAGATAGGCATAATTCAAGTTTTGGACTCATTTCTAAAGCCTATATTAAAAGAAATAAATAATTACATTCGTCTTAATTTTATTATGAACAGGTAATATTTTCATGGTTAACATAAATTTGTGACAAAAATAAACTATTAAATAAAGTTCTTATTTTATAATGTAGGAAAAATATTCCACCCAATTAGTGGCAAAATTGTTCCATTTAAGCCAATTTTAAAAAACGGCTCACATTTTACCCAGAAAAAAATATTGCCTAAGCCTTGAGATTTCGCTAATAATGTAAGAAACCTTTGTGCCATATATGAACAAATTCTATAAGCTTGCATAATATTTTTCCGGATAAAATACTAAGATAGGAGTTTTTAGGAATCGGCTCTAATAAAGCGATTTTGCATCATTATGACCAATAGGGTTTTAATCTTGCCGCTAATATTATTTTTATTTCTAGGTTTATGATACTTCAACCTATTAGATGCCATCTTATTCAATGATAAAAAGATAATATTCGCAGTTTTAATATTAACTAAAAGACACCTTGAGATAACCTTATACAAAGACAAAATTTATGACTTGCAAAGGAGTAATATTGCTAAAATAACAAGGCATAGTAAAGATTATTAAAATAAATAAGAGGGCATTTTATTACCTGTTTAATAAGTTTGGTATCAAGTGTTAACCGCTTGACTCTATGAAAATTAACGAAGAGTGACAAGGGTATAAATCCAAGGGCATCCATATTAGCTCGCAAGAAAAAATCTTTTTGTAAATTTTCTTCACTAAAGTAGTATTCACTAAAAAATACATAATATACAATCTAATCATGTGAGTTTAAAATAATTACTATAAGATTATTTCTAGAAGTGTGCTTACAAAATCGTTAGAAAAAAGTGATAATTACATGCGGTTGTTTTTGCATAGAAACTCTAATTATGAGAGTACAAAATATGTAAACAACATTTTATATATTTTGTTATCATTTTTTCGAGCAAATTCTCATTCAAAAGAATATTTATTTTTAAAATTTTTTTTACATTAAACTTATAATTTATTCATTAAAATATTTTGTGCATCAATGGTATTGCATAAAAGTATATTATAAAATAATCGAAATAATCTTAAAAAAATTAATTTGTAAACAATTAATATTTACAATATGAAAAAAATATATTATTGTTTAATTATATATTTCTTTACTTGAGAAAAATATCTACATCAACTGATATATATAAATTTAAAAAATAATTTCATCAAAATATTAAATTAAAATATGTTCTTTCTAAATTCCAAATAATTATGTTTTAACTTCCTTTTTATAATACTCTCCAATTATAAGGCAAAATTATCCTCGTACATATAAATAAGAATATTTGAGTATTCTTTTCTATAAAAAAAATTACAACTTTCTTTTTTCTTTTTATTCGATAAGTTTATAAATATTCTATTTTTAAACTAAATTATTTCGATTATTTTATAAAATATATTTATGCAATATCAAAGATGAATTATTTTAAAATAATTTTATAGATATTATATACTGACTTTTAATAAAAAATTTATAAGTTTAATGTAAAAATTTTTTTTTAAAATAAATGTTCGTTTTGAAATGAGAATTTAATTGAATGATAACTAAATATAAAAAAATGTTGTTTACGTATTTTGTGCTATCATAAAAAGAGTCTCTGTGCGAAAACAATGGCAATATGTCCAATCATGAAAGGTTCCTAAAAAATAAATATGGTGACACAACCTTTAAAATGCCTGGAATCGACTAATACTGCTAACTTAATTTATAGAATCAACTTTCTAAAAGGCAATAGTCGCCAGTTTAATACAGATATTTAATATCTGAAGCTCTAATATTTAACAAAGATAAGCGATAAATAGATACCAAAAATCAATTTTATTTTAAGAAAAGGTTTTTATGATAATTTTTAAACTTATTGTGAATTAGAGATAGCAAATAGCTCTCCAGTCAAACATATACTTTAACATATTAAAATGAATCATCCCTAAAATTTAGTTGACGTAAAGGACTTAATATTCAATTTAATCCTTAAAAACTATAATACATTTGAGTTTGAATCTGGGCTACGAGTGGCACTTTGAATACAGCATATTGTGAAGGCGTTCCCGGTAGTGGGGATGAAGGGGGTGGGCTGGATAAGACGGAAGGAGTTATCACTGTCGGTGTTAAAAGTCTGAGAGGTAAGGTTGTAGTGGACGCAAAAGCCTCGTTATCGTAAGGATATTGATGAGGGGGTGGCGCGGGCCTGAGGTGGAAAGAGTGAGAAGGTGAAGTTAATAATAACCCACCCCCTGCTGCATGGCGGGAGATATGATCGAGTCCGCTGGGGCGGACTGGACCTAAGACTGGAGTTGGGGAACGATTAGGATGGTGGTAATAGTAGTAGTACTGGAAACGAGGTGGTGGGAACGGAAACTGAACTGGACCAGTGGGGTGATTATGAGTGGCATAGAGAGGCGATGTGGTGCCGAAGTCTTTAAATATTTTAGGTTGGATATAAAACATTAAATAACGTAATTTTTTCTATAATTAATTGATTTCTATTTATAAATGTATGTAAAAAAAATAATAAGAAATTAATAAAAGATTAAAGTAAATCAATTCATTCTACTCTTATATGAATAAAATAATATCCAAACTATCATCAAATTCTTTATTCCTTGCGAACAAAACTTACAAGAGGCGTATGCAGGCGGCGTCTGGGAATAAATAAGAGTGGGGGGCGGATAATGTGCAGCAGCAAAGTAGTGTGAGGAATACCGTTTTTTACCGTTAAAATTGGTGCCGTCATTCCCAGTCGAGTAAAAACGCCATTTCTTGTTCATGCCAAAGCCATCTTTGCGGTCTTCTCCGACGCTCCCCCCACTGATACTTTCATCTCTAGAAGTAGCATTGTGTCTTGCTGATCTGGGGACCGAAGAGGTATTAAGAACAGGGCGGGAGTAATGGCGCTCAGACGAGAAAACCGTAGCAGCTGGGACAGAATAAAAGTAAGGAAAATTTAGAAAATTAAAATATCAAATTTTATCCCCATTTTCACCATAATTTATTTTTCTATTAATGAGTTAAGTATATTTTTTTAAATATAAATTACAAAAATTATTTAGTCAGTTAAAAACGGCAAATAGAAATCGAATGGTAGTCTTTAATATATTAATAATTACTTTGCAAACCTTTAAGTTTGTTACTGGAAATGGTTTCATCATTTGAGCACAATTCACGTGAATTTTCGTCCTCATGCTTCTTTTCTGATTCCTCCGAGGATTTCGTGTCAACTAATTGGCTAATATCGCTACTAACAGGATTGGTTCCCTTTTTGGGTCCGGGGTTATTAAGGCTATTGCTGGTTCGATTATTTGAAGCGCGATAATGGTTTTTAGAGAGAAAGGGTTGATGATTTGGACTAGAGGCCGAAGAGAAGTGCTCTTCACGAAAGGAAGGTCGCTCGATTACCAGTGGCACCCATTTTTTGCCTATGCCAAAATATTGTAATAGTTTTTTTCTTTATTTGTTTTTAAGAATTCTAACTCAATTAAATTAGTGTCCTTTAAACAAATTACCCATAATAGACTCTTAAAAATTAGCAAATATAAACTAGAGAGGGACATAAATTAGGTTATAAGGAATGTCAATTCAATTTAAAAATTGAGGGATGAATAAGCTAGAAAATATGTAAAACTCTAAAAAATATCACCATAAATAATGAGTGTTAATTAAAGTTTCTTGAAATACGATATTGGCATGAAAGAATAAAAATAAATCTAACTTTTTTTGCTACGAAAGTTGTTGAAGAGTGAGGAAGAAGCGGTTTTAGAGGTATCGTTACTGGCACCATTGTTGCTATCAGCTTGGGACGTTGAACTACTAAGGAGCATCTTAAACGTTGATCAAAAAAATTAAATGAAAGCTGGAAGTGGCTTAGTTCCATCGTGTTTTTTAAATCATTATCTTTTAAATCGATTTTTTTAAAAAGGTTAGATTTTATCTGACTTAAGCTTTAAAATTTTGCAATTATTAAATATAATTTGAAAAGATAGGTCTCATTAGTGTTGCTAAACGTCTCAATTTGAGCCGATTTTTAAACGCTAACAATATTTTATTCAAAAAAATATTAAGCAAGTCTGTAGATTTTGGTTATAGATGACACAAAGGTTTGGACGACAACTATTAGCGAAATCTCGTGTATGCAACATTTTTCTGACCAAAATATTGAGTTAGACGTTTTAAAAAAATCGCTGAAATCGAGCCGTTCAACAACACGTATAAAATACAAAAATGATTTTCATTGCATGGTTACAAGCGTTGTTACTGAACATGAATAATGAAACATAGGATAAGGAATACTAAAACTAATAGCACAAATTTTGATTTTGAAAATATTTTAACTCATAGATGCACTTCTCATAATTCAATCGATTATAATGATTTATACAAAAAGTGTAAAGGAAATATTAAATCATAGAAATAATCATTTTATGTTTTAAAGGATCCCAATGATGACAGAACAAACTAACAAATAATGTCCAATCATGTTTAAGTCAATGTCAAATTATCAGATATCTTTTATTACGATCATGATAATAAATATGAAAAGTTTGTGAATACCGAAAAAATATTTTAAAAAAAATTACCAGACATTTAAAAGTAACAGCTTCAGTTTTAAAGATACTAATTTCAATCACAAAATCCTTGAACGTATTGCAAAATAAATATCATATTGTGTAGAGCAATTACTGTAACAACTGGCATTAGAGGTCTGTAAAGTAATTTTTTCGCGAACCGAGCCCAAATTATAAAAATTTTCCGTTTGAGCCCGACCCGATCCCGAATTCAAAATGTTTTTCATCCCGACCCCAACTAATTTTTTCAATTTGAGTTTAAATATTATAATATCCAAAAAACAATTAAAAATTATGTGTATTACCTTAAATAAAAGTTAATTTGACCGCCATAATATAATCAATATTTATATTAAGTTGCATTTTATTTATATTGGAAACATATACCTTTTTATTCACTTTAAATATTAAAAAGTTGAAATACAATCGAATTTATAAATTATTTCGATTATATAACAATAATGTGCATAATATGAAAATATTATAAAGATATATCTATATCATTAACAATAGTATCATATAGTGAATAATTGTAATATGTATAAAAACAAGGAGACGAGTTTGTAAGGCTTTAAACAAGTCTTCCTATCTAAAAGACCATAGCTAACGCTGAAAACGCTCTTTCACTGCTAACTGAGGAAGCAGGGATAGTCAGGAATTTAAGAGCTAAAACAATTAAATTGGAAAAATGGTTTTAATGAGTCTTTCGCCAATTTAAAATTTGGCAAATGATTTTAAATACTGAAAATTTGGGGATATTTAATTAAATAGATATTAGAAAGTCCACATTTTCTCCAACACTCGCCTCCGGAGCTCAGATCAATGTTTGGGTTAGAGGAATTATTGGGGATATTTATATTTATTTATCGGGTCGGAAACCTTTTATAACTCGACACAAACCCGAAAAAGGGTATTTTATTAGTCCAACCCGCTCTAACTGGCATTAATAATTAAATTAAAAAAATGAGAAATGTTATTTCGCCTTCTATATTAAATAATGTTTCGAATCCTGAGTAGCGGAGATCAAAGAAAAGTTTTATTGATAATAATCTAGAAATAATCCTATATTCACTCAACTCTTAATGGTGTAGTGGCTTCTTCAGCTTCTGCAGAAAGAATATTTTTCTCTTTTAGCCTAGTCCAAACAAAATTTGTAAACAGATATGGACTAGAAAATTCTAGAAAATTAGTTTTTCATTTTAAATATTTTAATAAAAAAATCTTTTTTTGGAGGAAGAATCTCATTTATTAATTTTAAAAATAACATGTAAAAATTTTTTTTATTGAAATTTACATTTAAAAAGAAATACTACTAAGCGAAATATGATGTCTTATTCAAGTAATAGACCTAACTAGTATAGTAATATAGCAACGCCACAGTATTAGGTCGGTCACAAATTGAATGAAAATTATTTATTAAGAAAAAAACAGACGTGAATTAATATAACGAAAAGTAATATGTGAGTTGACAGAAGAAATAAAATTGGCTATTTCATTTTTAGTTTGTGGCAGTTAGTAAGTTAATTAGATACAATTAATTTTTGAAACAATCTTAAATTGTATTAATTTATAAACGAGATTCTTCCTTTTTATCATTAAATCATAGTTTATTATGACCCTTAAATGCAAATTTATATTTTGGATGCCCCATCAAATGCTATTATATTGTGTATATAAACTTGAGAGTCAAATGATTCACCACCTTCGACATCAAGGCCTAAATTTGGTTGTAAAGATTTGATAGCTAAGGTTTTAGTGGCATCACCTGGAATAAATAAATGTTATATAAAATTATCTGATTAGATAATTAAAGCGTCAAGATAAAAAATATCTTATTCAAAATACATGTCACTTATCTAAATTTTGGCAATTTACTTGGTTGAGCAATTGGGTTGAAATCACCAGAGCTTATTAATGTTCCTTTATTGACAATTTGGGAGTCAGTCATATTATCGTGGGGTGTGCAATTAAGAATAAAGGGTCTGGCCCACCTATTACCTAATGATTCGTCGCTGAGATTATCTGTAGAACTTAGCATAGTATTTTGTGATATTTTCAAAGATGCACTCGGAAAACTTTTTTGTGATGCGACGCAAGGAAAATCCAAATCGTATGTTTCGGGAGTTACTGCAAAATCTTACATGTGACAATATGTATTTTTAATAAATCAGGTGATGAGCAAATACAAAGTAAATAAAACAAAAAAATTATACTAATTTTAGGTGAAAATCAAAAAGAATTGATTAATTTGTATAGTCCAGTATACTATGTAAATATAATCTATTATTTCTAATATACGCGTGCATCCGGCATATTCCATTTTAAATTAAAACCGTAGACGGCGTTTAGCGTGCGTCATAAGGGAATAAAATAACGCTTGTGACCTTTTAAAAATTAATGAAACTTGACATGTTATTTATATAAATCAAAATTTTAATTAGCTCAAAAGGAACAGGAGTTATGAACTAAGTCCAATATAGGTTCGATCTAGTTTTCCCAAATTGTTCGACAAATATTTAGTCAAAATGCATAAATTGAATATCATTTTGTAGCCCTTAAAATTCAATTTAAGAAAATCTAAAAAAATTCAGTGGTGATCTATTTTCAGCAAAAATGAGTTATTTATGAGCTAGCCCCACTTTGAGAAGATGAAACTCATCAGGTATGTTTAATGCCAATACATTTAAATATTGTTTAGTGTCTCATAATTTTGAGTATAAAAACGCTATCGTTACGAAATCATTGTAATAAATTTTTTATATAAATTAGGCAATTTCTATTACGAACATTAAATATATTACGATTATTATATAAAAGAATCTTTATTTATCGCGATTCAATATCAATATTGTAACACCTATTACAATTTCTCAAGGATGTCTATAATGTGTATAACCATATAGATGTACATTTGATATATTTTACAGCTCACGCTTGTTAAAAATAATTATCATTTATGGTAAGCGCCTGCAGATTTAAAAATTTTCTTTTAAACTTTTTTCATACCCTTATGAGAATAGGGCAAAAATATTATTTTTTTAATCGTCGCTTTAAAGTAAAAAATTTGAGCCATATCGGACTTAAAATGAATACATTTGTCGGTCTTTGCTAATTTAAATATCGCCTTTTAGTTTTTTTTATTTCGAAAATAATGAAAACAAAATCATCCATTCTAATTCTTATTTAAATATATTGGTAATACACATATATGATGAGTTTCATCGCCCTAAAGTGGGACCAGCTCAAAATAACACATTTTTGTTTTACCGGAAATATACATTGACGATAAGAATTTTTTAAAAATATTTACATATTTTCTAAAAGAGAAACTTAAGTGCTACAAAATGATATATAATTTATTCATTTGGACTAAATAAATATATTATATATCGAGTAATTTAAAATTATCAAAACCGATGGCATCTGTATTGGACTTTGAGAGCCCACAACTCCGTGCCCATTTGGGGAGCATTACTAATCATTATTTAAATTGGACACTATAAAACTATAATTAAGTTTCATTCGTTTTTAATAGGTGGTCAAAAATCTAGTTTTTTGGTCGATTTGTCATGGAATAACCCCATAAAATTAAAATACTGACAATAACAAGCATTATGATTAATAACAAGACACAATGGTTAATTATTCCGCATTTCAAAGCATTTTTATGTCAATTTTAATATTGTGGGAGAATACGTCCTGGGCGGGCCCGTAGGAACCAAATAAATTAATTATAGCATGCACTTTGTAAAAATATATATTTAAGTTTTAAAAAATAACATTTTTAATATTCTTTCCCTGCTCTGTAATATTCGCGTCATTAAAAATGAGCCCATTTCTACTCTGTTATGTTTTTCAGAAAATTAACTTGACCATGAGCCTTCGATTGGGCTATAGCTAGTGTATCAAATAATCAACAATCTATTCATGTTAAATTATGACTTAAAACTTTTAAATAATTCGAGTAATGATACATTCATTCCCTCTCGGCTTACCTTTGTTTCTGGGATCGATTCCTTTAGTGTGATTAAATCGGTGGGAACCGCCTGAGTGACCGCGTCCAATCCCAACGGAATGCTGTTGAAAGGTTCCTCGGCCGCGTAAAGACCTGCCTTTCATTCCGCTATAGTGCCCATTATTAATGAGCGGACGTGGAGTAAGATCGGCATCTGAAATCCCGTTGCAAATGTCACCGTTTAAAAGCGGGCCATTAAGGATGACGGTAGGATTTGAGGCAGGGGAGCTTTCGGGGGCCTCCGAAGAACAAGTAACCATTACCATCAATTAATTTAATAACTGTAGAAATGATTCCGTGATAAAATGTTTTTCAGGGGTTCGAAAAGAGGGCGGGAAGGGGGTGGAAAGTGTAAAAAGGAACGCGAGGGACTGAGAAGCCGTGACGAGATTGAGGGTGAAGACCGATAGAACGTACTAAGATGTAACAAACGAGGTTTTATGATGGATTCTGTAGAAATCAAGATTTTCTTCCAAGTAAATATGATAAGTAGTGGTTAGCAAAAAGCGTTGATAGATACACGTTATAGTTTATTATAATAGGGGGGGGGGTATTCTTGTTGTAGCAAAAAGGGTAGATACTAAGATTGTTTTTATATAATTTTGTCAAGTATCAGATATATAAGCGATCTAAACTTGGGTTCGGAAAAATTGACAAGTACACTATACTATACTATACGCGTTCGACGTATTCTGGCGTTAATGATATGGATTTTAATTAACTTTCCTTCCATATGTATAAATATTGTGATTAGAATGTTGTATTAGGATAGATGAATCTGAATTTGCATGAATATAAAAAAGGCTTTATAATTTACATGTAATAAAGTTATTAATCTATTTATAATTTATTTTGTATATATCTCGTATTATGCTTAAAAAATATTTGCATTCTTTTCATGTTTTTACTACACTAATCAATATTAATTTTTTAAAGTTATTAAATGTTGCAAAAAAAATAAATACTTTTAAATTAGCGATTAGGCATGAAAACAATGCCATAAATTAAAACCACCATGTTTAAGCAAATCGATATTATAATTGATATGAATAAAATCATGTAAATTCATCACGAGCTCATTAAAATATATTACCTTTCTCTCAAACAGCTGAAGCACAAAATGAAAAAATAACTTAAAACAATGAAATGAAAAACAAAATTCATCTATGAGAATTTTAGGTCTTATATAGGATGAAACCTTCTGCGAAAGTTGGGATTTTATAGGATGGATACTAAAAAAGAAGCGTAGGGAAAATGTATTTTATTAAAATCGTTATTTAAATCACCCCGATATTTTTAAATGGATTTATTTACATCAATAATTTTTATACGATTTTATCTACTAAATAATATTATATTTTTAAAAATTTGCCCAGCCCTGCTAATTTGCCTACAGCAATAAACTTGGTGTCAAAATATTAAATAATGAATATTCATTTTAAAATTTAAAGATAGGAAAGAAAGAAAAACAACGAAATTATTGCTAGAATCCATGAAAATAAAGTTAAAAATGGATATCGAATTTTTTAAACAAAAATTAATTAAAGTATATGTATCTTTTGTCAAGGAGAAAAAATAAATATTTTTGTATAAGATAAAAAATATAAACTAAAAGTATCTTAGATAAGGATAAAAATATCCTATCAAAAATGCTAAAAATATACTGTCAAGATATCTAAAATACAGATATTCGTGGTACTGCCCAATTCTGAAATTCACAATAGACAAAATTGGCTCTAAAATATATCTGCTAAAGGTGCACAGCCATCATAACATTGACGTATAGGTTTTTGTTTTATTTGAACAATATTTTAAATCCCATTGGGGTTTTCCAAAATTTCATTGTCCTATTCCATTTTAAAGGGTTTGATTATGGTATACTACTGAAAAATCCAATATTTCAATTAAAATCAATTTCCCTTTAAAGTAAAAATATTTTGTGAAACTCTATAAACAATTTTATTGAAATATTTCCTCAATATTGAGAGATTTTAAAATATTTGGAATACAAATTTATGAAAAATAAATAATCAAAAATTAACCTATAAAAATAAAAGCCGGCCAAACTAAAATAAAAATTATTAATAATAATCATCAAATTATTTGAATATTTTATTTTGACTATTTATATCGAATAACTTGAACGACGGGGTGACGTATTTAACATCAATCAATACCTATGAATTAGAGCCCTGAACGCGACCTGCCCTATTCGAATTGGTCAGATTAGAATAGACATTCTCTTGAATTCGATCTAGCCAGATGCTGATTTTTAGCTTGGGACATCAATTTTATTTTTGCTTTTCTAATGCCTTTTTAAACCATTCGTTTTAGGTTGTCAAAAACTTATTTCAAAGATTTTTAAAAATTTAAAGTAGACAGACTAAAGTTTTGAAATGTCAGAAAAATGTTTTGGCCACATTTTCATTAAAAAAAACTTATCAAGTAGTGAATGTTTTGGAATTAAATTTTTGATGGGAACAGGGTTAAGAAAAAAACACGTTTTTTTTTATTTCTCACTAATTTTTTGGCTATAATTTTTTCATTAATTTTGTACGGCTATCTAATATTCAAGAAAATGCTATGCAAACCTGAAGATTTTGCTCATAGAAGGAACAAAGTTCTAGACATATTTTATCGAAATCTCCAGGTTTAGGCAATATTTTTATGGCTAAAATATTGAGTTAGCCGTTTTAAAAAATCGGCTCAAAACGAGCCGCTTAACAACACTATCATAATCCAATTTTTTATTTTTTCGGATGGGGTCGGACCATATTTTAAGTCAGATCAGGCCTATAAAGTTTAAATCGGACCTGGATCTTTAAAAAACAAACGAATCTATTATCATAATACGATTATGCTTTAACTCACTTTCACTTTAAAATATTTTCCTAAAAAAATTTTCGCTAATAAGGCTGTCGAAAATGGAAATGTTCGTTGTTTCCCTGGGCTGGCCGAGTTGGATCTACTTATATAATTTTTTGTTGCATCGCCGCCTAATTATTAGAGGGTTCTATGTCTACTCAAATCAATTTTTCAGGAGAATCTGGCAAATACTACAAGATATTGTAGCAAATTTTTTTTAAATTTTATAAATACTTAAACTATGACAAACTATTTAAAATTTTATTATATATCATAAAATTATTTTTGAAATAATTATCGTGCTTGAGTGATTCTAGCAGTAAAATTATTCAAATTTTTATATCCAAGTGGATCATGTGTAGAATGAGAAGTATCATGTGGTAATTCAACCCTAAATTGATAAGGAGATAAATTCAGGCAAAGGGAGAGTAAAAGGTTAGGATAAATGAAGGTGAAGGTTTTTTTGGAAGATGGGAAGGGGGAGGTAAAATAAAATTTAATATTGATAAGAAAATAAAGTGTAGGTAAAAAAAGTATGGAATTAGAGTGGGTAAAAATTATATGTAAAACGAATTATTCGTTTATTCGATTCGTATTTTACGAATAAGAATAATGAAATTATTAAAATTGAAATATCTGTCGAATAATTTTTTGTCGAAATTATTTGAAATTCTTAAAAATATTCATATATATTTGAATTTTTTTTAAAAAAAATATTTAACATGCTATTTCTGAACTTTTTATTTTTTTTTATACCTTTTCCCATAAATCACTTTTAAAAATTTTTGAAAATATTTTAGAATCAAATCTAATGTTATAAATATCCGTAAGAATATGAACCATTCAATTCGAAAATACGAATCGAACATGTAATGCAAATTAGAGATCTGCAAAAGTAGGCCCGGCTCTTACCTGGCCCGAACGGGCTTCGGGACCCGGGCCTTGGAAATATTTTTAAATATATTTAGATTTATCAATTTTATATTGAATTTTTTATGTAAAATAAAAATATTTTATTTTATTTATAGAACTAGACTCCATATAACATATATCTTTTATTTTGAGTAATTATAAAAATTAATTTCTATATTTAGATAAAATCGGACCGGGCAGGTAAATTTTTTCAAAAAATATTTCCGAATGGGGCCGGGGCGGCAAAACTTTTTAGAAAAAATTTCGGGTTCGGGCCGAGCCGGGTAAAACTTTTTTAAAAAATTTTGGGCCGGGTCGGGTTTGAAAAAAAAGACCCGATGAAGATCACTAATGAAAATATTCGATTCGTATTTTTGTAGGTATAAGTAAAAATGAAGAATTATGTCTGACTATGATGAGGATATTATCGAAACAAAATTTTTTAATTTCAAAAATAAAAATTTTGAAATTTAAAAAATAAAGACGTTGTTTTTTGAATTTTTTAAAACCAAAATATCATATTCAAAAAATATATAAACTTAAATTTTATCAGCCTTAGAACGAGTAAAAAATCCTTGGGTGGGTTAATTATATTTCCAAAATAATGGGTGGGAGGGCGGTAGCATTTAAAATGCGAAATGAGCGAAGCGGACTTATATATTTTTTTTAATTATTTCATAATAATCTAAATTTATGTTTAAGTAAAAAAGAAAAACATTAAAATAAAATAAGAGGCAAACTAACAAATATAATGATTTTTAAACATTCGAGTTAAACAATATTTTTAGAAAAATGAAGGACAGGAGGGTAAATTTTTTAAAAAAACTATAGGCGGGTGCGTAAATCTTAAAAAAATTACGAGCGAACGGGTTAAATTCTTTTTAAACAATGGGTGAGTGTTGGATTAAAAAGCATTTCATTGCAGACCTCTAATAATGATATTGATAAAATTAGATATTATTTTTAAAATCATATTTATGTAAAAAAAATTGGTAGAGGCAACTTTTTTAACTTATTAAAAGAATTTAGGTCTTCTTATAACAGATGCTAAATATAAGTACTTTCTTGTAGCTTGATGTTCTTTTATAAATTTTTTTTTAAATGGAAACATTTTAAATAAATAGGACCCTATAATAATTACAACTTTGGGCCAAAAGGAGATAAAACTTTATTTTATAAAAACGTATTCAAAATCATTTGTGTGGGGATTTATGAGCCAAGAGACCCTTAAGAATGATGATCAAAAGTCGACATAATTCTATAATAATCAGGCAGCGATTAAAAAATAAACTAGGTAGGAGCAGTCAAGGCGTTCTGTCTGACCCTTGCGCGAGGTACGAGCCTATTTAACAAGGTATTACATATTCCGTGCGCAATCAAAGGTATTCCCATTTAAAATGAAAATTAGACAATATAACTCTGCCACAAAGAATACTGGAATATTTTTTATTAAATCATATTTTTTTGAAATAGCCTAAGTGATGCAACGTAGATATATGAATTTTGTTGTATGAACATATGATATTATAAAATACGGTAGAAAATTACATATTTATAAACTTTGTTCTTTTCCTAAGCTCATATCTTTGTTTATTTTTATTGAAATTGTTTGTCAAATAAATGTAGTTTTTTATACGAGGTCGCGCTTTCCTATTTTTTAAATAATATTTTATTGATGATAGATAAAATACGCGATTTTGAGATTAAGGGAAAGTCATAACTCTAATAAAATTAAAGTTGTAAAAAAATATCTTATTTATTTTTTAAAAAATTAGGTTTGGATCGATGAAGTGGGAGGGAGGAGCTAAATTTTGATTACTTTCGGAATAGCGTAGGTGGAGTAAATGAGAATTAAAATGATGGGTTGGCTTCTTAATATTATTTTTTGGTAAAAAATATATTTAAAATATGATGCTAAGGTTACCAAATATATAAATATTAAATTAGGTCCTGTCTCACTGGCCAGCCATGTATTCTATTATTGCAATTTGTTATGATAGT